CAGCCTGACCAACGTGGTGAAACCCCATCTTAAAAAAAAAAAAAAAAAGAAAAGAAACACTCAGCCTAGGATGAGGGCATTGGCTCACGCTTATAATCCCAGTACTTTGAGAGGCCAAGGCAGGCAGATCACTTGAGCTAGCCTGGGCAGCACAGTGAGACCCTGTTTCTATTAAAAAAAATTAAAAAATAAGAAAAAGAAACACAGCCTCACAGGTATTAAAGATATGTAAAAGAGTTTAATAAAGTGGATTATGTAATTATACAAATAAACAAAGAGCTGGTTTCATAGAGGGAATGTTGAACTCTTCAGAAGCAGAGGGGACCAGGAAAAGTTTCCGGCAGGAAGCCACATCTGGGCTGAATTTTGATGGGCAAACAAGTGTTCCCTAGCCTACGTTTTCTAAGGACATATGTATTTTGGCATCTATTTTGGTATTCAGTCCATCTTTTGTGTTTGGCTGTTACTACTTCATTGCTTCATTCCCCTGAACACACCACTCCCTCTCCCTGCCCTCCCCCTTTCTTTTCCTTCCTTTTATGGGGAATTTTTTTTGTGTGTGTTTAGCTCCTGGATTTAATTTAGTTGGATGGGACTCTAGCAATAACATTTCTGTACGTTTGCCCAGGGGCCGTCAGCTAATGGATGTATTCTTTACAGGCTGATAAACAGATGAATAAAGCCAGCCTGACATCTCGAATCTCTGCCTCTCTCCTCTTCCTTTGCACTTTGCCCATCGTTCACAGAGGTTTTATAAAATCTAAAATTTTCCTGGGTAACTCAAACATAGATTGCCTTCATTAAGTCACTCCTACACCTGCCAGTCAATCCCATGAAGGGCTTTCTTTTTGCTGGAGGATGTGTTGTCTACCCTCAGGAGATCCATCCTATGTGGGATGGAAGTATGGACTGCTACCCAGTAAGTAAAAAAGAACCCCAGAAAATTATGGACTTGTAACTCTGGATAGCATTTGCTCATTTCTGACCATTGGTGCTGATTTATTAAATGATCAATTGATGTACAATGGAACAGAGGCTGACCAAATCACCTGGAGAAAAGCGAATCTGAAGATCTGCAAGCCTGAGGATCCAAACCCCGGCTCTGAAAACAAATGTGGAACTGTAGTAGAATAAAGCACCCACCATAGTTGCCATGAAAAAGTTAACCAACTTTGGCCAGGTGTGGTGGCTTACACCTGTAATCCCAGCACTTTGGGGGGCCCAGGTGGGCAGATCACTTGAGGTGAGGCATTTGAAACCAGCCAGACCAACATGGTAAAACCCCATCTCTACTGAAAATACAAAAATTAGCTGGGTGTGGTTGCGGGTGCCTATAATCTCAGTTACCAGGGAGGCCGAACCGGGAAAATCACTTGAACCCAAAAGGTGAAGGTTGCAGTGAGCCAAGTTCCTGCCACTACACTCCAGCTTGGGGGAGAGAGTGAGACTCCATCTCAAAAAAAAAAGAAAGAAAGAAATTAACCAACCTTGAAACAAACTGCATTCTTTTTTTTTTTTTTTTTTTTTTGAGATGGAGTCTCAATCTGTTGCCAGGCTGGAGTGCAGTGGCACAATCTCAGCTCACTGCAACCTCTGCCTCCCAGGTTCAAGCAATTCTCCTGCCTTAGCCTCCCTAGTAGCTGGGACTATAGGCGCCCACCACCACGCCCAGCTAATTTTTGTATTTTTAATAGAGACAGGGTTTCACTATGTTGGCCAGGATGGTCTCGATCTCCTAATCTTGTGATCCACCTGCCTTGGCCTCCAAAAGTGCTGGGATTACAGGCGTGAGCCACCATGCCTGGCCACAAACTGCATTCTTAAACGTCTCTAAAACGCAACAACAATATATGGTTGTCCTGCTCTTCTGCCAGTTCCTGCCTCACCACCTCTCCTTTCCTTCTAGGATGCTACTCTCTGCCTATTCTCTTCTTTAGCCCTGCTCTGAGCACTCTGCTTCTATTTTCACTGCCCCAACTCCAGATTACCTCCTACACCCCCAGGAGAATGCTCCTCCCACTGCCTGGGGAGGCTCTCCTCTAGCCAGGCCAGAACACTGAGGTCATTGCTCTCCCCACCAAATGACTGGCCTGAGTCTAGCTCTGCATCTGCCTGAGCTTCATGGAAAACTTGATTGCTGCTCTAGGCTCTCCATTCCACGTTCTGCCTCAGCTATGTCCTGCTTTGCATCTGCTTTTTTGTTTCTTCTCCCCACACCCTTTTCTTTCCCTGACTCTCCCTAGACTAAAATCACATCTGTTTTCTAGCCTCAGCGCCCCTATTGTGAAGCAGATGGGAGAGAAGCAAGTTCTGGGCAGGAAGATCAGGAAGAGCTGGGTGTAGCACTTGGATTGTTCTGGGGACTGACCAGATTCCAAGTGTCTCAGAGATGCAGCACTTACAGCTCCCCTGGAGGTCCCAGAGGTGCTTACAAAGTGCAATTTGCTTATTTCTGTGTCCACCACGCTTTCTTCCTCTCAACTAGACTCCTTCCTTCCTTCCATCATACCCCTTTTTTTCTTCTAGTCTGTAATTTATTCATACTAACTGTGGGCCGGGAGCGGTGGCTCACACCTATAATCCCAGCACTTTGGGAGGTCGAGGCAGGTGGATCACGAGGTCAAGAGATCAAGACCATTGTGGTCAACATGGTGAAACCCCGTCTCTACTAAAAATACAACAAATTAGCTGGGCATAGTGGCGCTTGCCTGTAATCCCAGCCACTCAGGAGGCTGAGGCAGGAGAATTGTCTGAAGCCAGGAGGCGGAGGTTGCCGTGAGCCGAGATCACGCCATTGCACTCCAGCCTGGGTAACAAGAGGGAAGCTCCATCTCAAAAAAAAAAAAAAAAAATACTAACTGTCTTATTAATTAAGACTGTCTGTCTACCTGTACTCTTCTCTAATTTATTTCATCAGGGAGACTAAAGGAGCTAACAGATAATTGGAACCTTACATATTTCTATGGCATACAAGGTCTACTATTCCTCAGACTTGATTTTCTGTAAATCAAGTTTGCTCTTGAATCCAAAGCGGGAATGTTTTAGTGATTTAACCACTAGAATCTCGATAAATAAGAGCAAATGCAAAGTCTTTAAAATTCCTGGATCAAGCCTGAGCAACATGGAAAAATCCTGCCTCTACAAAAAATAAAAATAAATTGGCCTGGCATTGTGGCAGACACCTGTAGTCCCAGCAACTTAGGAGTCTGAGGCAGGAGGATGGCTTGAGTCCAGGAGGTCAAGCCTGCAGTGAACCATGATCATGCCACTGTGCTCCTGTCTGGGCAACAGACCAAGACCATATTTTTTTTAAAAAAATTATTGGATCTACACATTACGTGATCTAAGGAAAAATATTGTTAGAATATAAGGCAAACACAATAACCTTGCTTTTCAGTTTTCTTTGGGCATCTGATTGCATTTTATCCTTAAGATCCCAGAAACCAAGATTCTTAGTTAAACTCAAACAAAGCCAAAAAACAGAGTAAGGCTCGCACTTCTCTCATGGAACTTCTCTACATTTGAGAATGATTTGGAGAGTTCTGAAAATGTCCTCAACCTTTTTTTTTTTTTTTTTTGAAACGGAGTTTTGCTCTTTTCACCCAGGCTAGAGTGCAATGGCGCGATCTTGGCTCACCACAACCTCTGCCTCCTGGCTTCAGGCAATTCTCCTGCCTCAGCCTCCCGAGTAGCTGGGATTACAGGCACATGCCACCATGCCCAGCTAATTTTTTGTATTTTTAGTAGAGACGGGGTTTCACCATGTTGACCACAATGGTCTCGATCTCTTGACCTTGTGATCCACCCGCCTCGGCCTCCCAAAGTGCTGGGATTACAGGCTTGAGCCACCGTGCCCGGCCAACTTTTTATGACCCTAATATAGCCAGCCTTCCTCTTGGACAAAACTCATATGGTATCTGTGTTTTCTTGGTTGTGAGAATGCACAGGATATTCGCAGGGGAAAAAACCAGGAAGAGTCTAAAAGTGTAGATCAAGAAGAGGCAGAGATTAAAAAGAAATACAGATATAAAAAGGAATTTCTTAGCATTCACGAGGTGAATATTGAAAAAGAAAGTGAAAAAGAGGCATTGTTGGAAATAGATGCTCCGGGCTGCAAAGAAAAATTAGCACTGAGACAATGGATCTTTCAGCAAAGCAATTTTTGCTTCCTGGACTGCAGGAGAGGGTACTCTCACTAGCCACCATGCTACGTGAGTACAAATAGCAAAGGGAAACACACAGGGTACTCTCACTAGCCATCATGGTATGTGAGTACAAATAACAAAGGGAGGGCCGGGCGCGGTGGCTCACACCTGTAATCCCAGCACTTTGGGAGGCAGAAGTGGGTGGATCACGAGATCAAGAGATCGAGACCATCCTGGTCAACATGGTGAAACCCCGTCTCTACTAAAAATACAAAAAATTAGCTGGGCATGGTGTTGCGTGCCTGTAATCCCAGCTACTCAGGAGGCTGAGACAGGAGAATTGCCTGAACCCAGGAGGTGGAGGTTGCAGTGAGCCGAGATCGCGCCATTGCACTCCAGCCTGGGTAACAAGAGCAAAAACTCTGTCTCAAAAAAAAAAAAGAGCAGAGGGAAACACACAGACGTATTTCTTACCCATTTGGGGTCGCCCTTACTGCTGTGTCTGATCTCTGTTGGCTGCAGTCAGACCTCACAATCTAAAACCCGATTGGCTAACAACTTAAAACTTTTTTTAAACAGGTAAAAGCAATGGAAAGCTGGGACATGCCTGTGAGCACATCCAGCACAGATATCTTGGTTAAAGTACAAGGACATAGAATGTACTACATGCTTGTAAGCATGGTCATGTCTAACAGCTACATTGGATAGGGCTTAACAAAGTTATTAGCACACTTATTCTTTAACAAGAAAGAAAACTTTAAAAAGGAACTTTTCTACTTCCCACAGGGATGAAGGAATGATTCAAATATGGAAGATAGAGGGCTGAAGAAGGAGAATTGCTTGAACCCAGGAAGCACAGTTTGCAGTAAGCCGAGATGATGTCATTGCATTCCAGCCTAGTCCTACAGGAGCAAAACTCAGTCTCAAAAAAAAAAGGAAGATAGCCAGAGAGGGAGAGAGACAGCAAGGATAAGAAGGAACTTTTAGGTAAGAAGGAAAGCCAGGATAAAAGGGGAGCTGGGACCAGATCATGAGAGTCATGAGAGGAGGGAAAATAGGCTGATGGAAGAAAGGCAATACACAAGCTGGGGCCAACCCTTCCAGGGAGCAGCAAGAGCTCTCACCAGTGTGGTCATAACATTTGGAATGAGGGTGTGAGCGACTGCAAATTCCCATCCCCCTTCTCATCCCAGCCTGATAGTAACACACATTCTATGCCTAGCCTGGCTTTCTTACTCTCCCTCATCTCATTGTTTCAGAGGCCAAATCCGAAGTTCTTTCCAGGGAGTGGCTCTGTTCACATCATTCTCCAGCCAAAGTAAGAACAGCATAAGAGGAGAGACACACATTCAGCAGCCAAAGGAATCGGCGGAAAGAGCAGAACACCATAGACAGTGAGTTGTTTGGTACCTAAAACTCTAAATAGACAGAGGGAATGTGTGTATGTCTGCGAGTGTGTGTGAAAGGGCTGGAGAGGGGCAATGGAGAATGTCACTGAACTTAGACTTGAGCAGACTTCCAAATAACCGTGCATTTCAAATGAAGGAGACGCTGAGATGAGCAGATGATATGAAAAAGACAGTCATATGAGAAAGGAAGATTTGACATCGGGGCGAAAGAGGCCAAAGGGTAGGGCCAAGTACCGACTGTGTCGAATGTAAAATTTCTTCTGACTTGGTAGAAGAGAATAATAAGAGCAAGAATAATGGTAAGTGACCAAAGAACAGATTTGAGGGAGAACTGAATGTTGGGTGAAAGGTAAGAAAAGAGAGAAAAGGTTTGAGTCATAAGGGAAAATGAAGAAAGTTCCTGGGAAGACAAAGAGACAGGGACCCAGAGGCATCTTCCCCTGGCGCTGAAATGCAGATGTGCCCCTGAGCATCACGTTCTCTGCTATGCCCACCACCCCTATAGATATGCTGCTCTTGGGACCCAAGGTGCTGCTGTTTCTTGCTGTATTCATCATCCCCTCTGGTGAGTCCTTTCTTCTTTGCTCCCTAAACCCTCAGCTCCCCAGCTATACATGTGTGTGGCAGGAGGTGGGATGGAATGAGGTTGAAGAGGAATAGCAGTGGAGATGCTTGGTATGGAGCTCTGGAATTCCTATGAGAGAAGAAAATAACAGATTTTGTGTTAAGGAAAAATGGGCAGGCATGTGACAAGACTTCAGACTAGGGGAAAGGCCTCCTGAGAGTTACGAAACTAAGGTGCAATTAAGACACACAGATGCATGTTAACCACCCAAAGAGGGTCACATACATAAATAAACGAGCAAACAAATTGCAAAGCAAAAAAGAGGCTGATACGCAAATGCAGACACAAACACAGAGGGACTACCTAGTAAGAAACTAGGCCTGGGCTGGGCGTGGTGGCCCACGCCTATATTCCTAGCACTTTGGGAGACTGAGGCAGGATGATCACTGAGACCAGCCTGGGCAACATAGTGTGAACTCGTCTCTATTAAAAAAAAAAAAAAAGAAGCTAGACTAAATTGAAATTTTGCAGAAGAACAGTGGGAATACATCCTCTAGTACCAGCATACATGCAGGTATATACACGTGCATGCAAAAAATATATGCCATACTGACACACAAGAGAAAAGTCATCTTCACAGATTTTCCAGAATCTGGCTAGAAGATTGGCCACAGAAAGTGAACTTTAGGCTTTAAAGATGTCCTACTCTATTTTTTTTCTTTTTCTTCCGATGAAGATTGAGAAAAAGAATTCTTCCGCCTTGTTCACTAGCGTGGCTAGCGGGGAAGCTGTGGGGCCAGAAGGCAGGAAACACTAGAAGGGCTGCTGGGCCTCTCAGTGGAGCTGGACTTCATTTCTGGCCAGGAATGTGGGTAAGAGGGCAGCAGGGTTTTGTTCTCAGGAACTTGTCTTTTTTTTATTTTAACCAACCAAACGCACAGCAGTGAAGGAGCTTGTCTTTCTGAAGTGTTTCTACTCCCGTTGGTTTTGTTCATAGCACTAATGGTCTGAGTAATTTTATATTGAGCTATATAGGAATAAGTCACAAAGATAAAGTATAACCATCTCCATCGTTTTCTGATTTGTCTAATAAAAGGGTTATGAGGTATAGAGCTGCAGTCATGCACATCTCTTTTCTCTTTCCTTTGCCACAGACTGGATACTCCTGGGGGTCAACAGCCAACGAGGAGGTAGGTGAACCTTGTGAACCCTTGGATAGGGGTTCTGTTGGGGTTCTTATTAGGAAAATGTAGATGAACAGAGTTAAAGAATCCTTCCTGCTTATCTATTGCTGCCAAAAAAAAAAAAAAAAAAGAATCTTTACTACAACACAGAGGTGCATTGCCAAAGTGTGAGAAATAGGATTGGGCCGGGCATGGTGGCTCACGCCTGTAATCCCAGCACTTTGGGAGGCTGAGGCGGGTGGATCACGAGGTCAAGAGATCGAGATCACCCTGGTCAACATGGTGAAACCCCGTCTCTACTAAAAATACAAAAAATTAGCTGGGCATGGTGGCGGGTGTCTGTAATCCCAGTTACTCAGGAGGCTGAGGCAGGAGAATTGCCTGAACCCAGGAGGCAGAGGTTGCGGTGAGCCGAGATCGTGCCATTGCACTCCAGCCTGGGTAACAAGAACGAAACTCCGTCTCAAAAAAAAAAAAAAAAAAAAAGAGAAATAGGATCAACTTCATGAGTTTCCACAATCCTGTTATTCCATTCATAAAAGCTTCTTGTGTGTGTGGTTTTAGACTAACTGAAACACCTTCCCAAGATCTCCTCTATGCCCATTTCTGTTTTCACTCTTCTCTATGTAGCTCCTGTCTTACTCAGAAAATGCCATTAGTCCTTACAAAAAGCATTCCTTACTCCATGTAACTGTGTAAAAATGAAAGACAGGGAAAAAAGTCTTCTTATGCCCATAATCCTAGCACTTTGGGAGCCTGAGGCAGCACGGCCAGGAGTTCAAGACCAACCTGGGCAACAAAGGGAGACCTCATCTCTTAAAATAAAAAATTAGTCTGGCGTGGTGGCACATGCCTGTGGTTCTAGCTACTCAGGAGGCTGAGGCATGAGAATCACTTGAACCTAGGAGGCTGAGGTTGCTGTGAGCCATGATTGTGCCATTGTATTCCAGCCTGGGCAACAGAGTGGGACTGACTCAAAAGAAAAAAAAAAACAAAAAAATGAGAAAAAAAGAAGTCATGTCAGTACTAAGTGAAATTGTAGCACAACCAGGTAAAATCCAAAAGGTATTTTTTTGGTTTTTCTGCTTTTTAAGTGTTTTTTTGTTTTTTTTTTTTTTTGCTCACGACATTCTCCATAACAAAAATCCCAAAAGTGTGACCCCTAAAGGACCATTTCCTTCAGCTTGATGAGGAAAACTCCATTCTGCCTCAAGACATTCAGCATAATTATAGTTTATCTCTTTATTTCTCCAATCCCAAGAGAATTAGAGGATGGACCACTGCAGTATGCAACCTATTAATGGGGTCATAAAATCAATTTCGGGGGTCACAACTGGTATTAGTTTTTAAAGTGAATTAAGAAAGACCAAAACAAATATACCAGGATACACTGCATGTGCTTTGCAAGAGTAAAATATTATTTCATAAAACTTCAATAGAACTTCTCTGAGTTTTCTATATATGTATACAGGGTATAGTACAATATAATTTTCTTGCAGTGGGTTCTGGTACAGAAAATAAAAATATAAAAATTTTTTTTTCTGTGGTAAAAATATCTGAATCCCAGGGTTTCTGAATCTAGATCAGATTACGGCACCAGAAAAACTGAAAATCAGAATCCATTTTTCTGGGCTGGTTAGAAACCAGTCTTGTGTTATGACTTTAGATGCTTTTCTAGTAGAAATATCATAAAGTATGATGAATTGTCTTGCCTGGTGTGGTGACTCATGTCTGTAATACCAAGCACTTTGGGAGGTTGAGGTGGGAGGATCACTTGAGGCCATGAGTTCGAGATCAGCCTGGGCAACATAGTGAGTCTCTATCTCAAAAAAGAAGAGGAAAAGAAAATATGTTAATATTTCTCTTAAGAGAACTTCATGAATACTAGATAAAGCATTTATATGGTGATAGCTCTTGGAAAAGTTGGTTAAACTGAGGTATATGCAGAAAAGCAGTACTCTGCCCTGAAATCCCAGAGACGGCTAGGATATATTATTAAGCCCTCTGTTCTCCCATTGCTTTGCTCCTGTTTCTGTGAGTAGCTGGACTGGAATGTAGCTAGGCCTCTGGAGAAAGGGAACTGAGGATTGGGGTACACCCAGGAGAAGCTCTACTCCTCTCTTGCAGTCTCTAGAATGATTCAGGTTAGTGGTTTTTCAAATATCCTGTGGGATTGGAACAGACTTGGATTCCTTTTATTAAAGATTGTTCTCCTAATCAATGACATTCGGCTTAAAAAAAAAAAGGCGTCTGAAAGAAGAAAGCCTCTAATAGGTGTTAAAGGTTAAGAGACTTTTTTTGTCAAATCTGATGACTTTTTTTTTTTTTTGAGACAGTCTTGCTCTGTCCCAGGCGGGAGTGCAGTGGCACTATCTCAGCTTACTGCAACCTCCACCTCCTGGGTTCAATTGATTCTCTTGCCTCAGCCTCCTGAGTAACTGGGACTACAGGCACACACCACCAATGCCAAGCTAATTTTTGTATTTTTAGTAGAGATGGGGTTTCACCATGTTGTCCAGGCTGGTCTTAAACTCCTGACCTCAAGTGATTTGCATGCCTTGGCCTCCCCAAATGCTGGAATTACAGACATGAGCCACCAAAGCCTGGCCAAATCTGATGAATTTCTATCTGGAATTTAGAAAAAAGGATGAGGTAAGCAAGGGAAACTCCTACAAAATGCTTTATGTGTATTTTACCTTTTTTTACAATTATCTGTCACTCTGACATGCTTTATAAAAATGTATGTTCTCATCAGATGTACATCTGACATTTATTAATATAATCTGAAGTTGAAAAAAGAAGTCAGGCCAGGCGTGGTGGCTCATGTCTGTAATTCCAGCACTTTGGGAGGCCAAGGTGATCGGATTACCTGAGGTCAGGAGTTCAAGATCTGCCTGACCAACATGGTAAAACCCCATCTCTACTAAAAATACAAAAACTAATCGGGCACGGTGATGCACACCTGTAGTCCCAGCTACTCAGAAGGCCAAGGCAGGAGAATTGCTTGAACCCGGGAGGCGGAGGTTGCAGTGAGCCGAGATCATGCCACCACTATACTCCAGCCTGGGTGACAGGGCAAGAGTCAGTCTCAGAAAAAAAAAAAAAAAAAAAAGTTAAAGGAAACTATGTGAATTTGCTGACCCCTAGTGGGTAGAATGGATTATGAATATAAACTATTTACATTGAAGGGTAATTGCTGATGGAATGTTTGCTTAATATTTATTTATTCTTTTATTATTCTATTTTATTTTATTCTATTTTATTTCATTTTATTTTTGAGACGGGGTTTGCTCTTGTTGCTCAAGCTGGAGTGCAATGGCGCAATCTTGGCTCACTGCAACCTCTGCCTCCTGGATTCAAGTGATTCTCCTGTCTCAACCTCCTGAGTAGCAGGGATTACAGGTGCATACCACCACACCTGGCTAATTTTTGTATTTTTAGTAGAGATGGGGTTTCACCATGTTGGCTAGACTGGTCTTGAACTCCTGATCTTAGATGATCCGCCCACCTTGGCCTTCCAGGTGTGCTAGGATTACAGGTGTGAGACACTACGCTGGGCCTCAAAATATTTAACATTTGCTAAATATTTAAATGTTATTTGCTAAGAGACAATAACATTCAGGTGCTCTTATTATACACATACAAAAAAGAAAACTAGTGAGGATATGGATATGTTAATTTGCTTGACTGTAGTAACCATTTCACTTTAAACACGTCTATCAAAATGTCATGGTGGATACCTTAAATACATACAATATAATTTATACGTAAATTAAAAAATAAAAGTAAATGTTAATGCTGTTTTGTTATTTTGCTTTTTAAAGTAGACACCATTGGTTTTAGGAAGTGCTGTTATTTGCAATTTCAGAAATAGTTTTCTCAGTTTATCCAAATATAACAGATTCCACCTTAAAACCTGGACCATTTTTATTTCTTTTCCTCCTGCCTTTACTTTCCAAAGATCAAATGCAAACCATTCTCTACTTACGTTGGCATTTTCCTTCTCCATTTTCACCTCACTTCTCAACGAGCATCAGAGAACCATCAACATAGCTAGGCGTGGTGACTCACGCCCATAATCCCAGCACTTTGGGAAACCAAGGTGGGTGGATCACTTGAGGTCAGGAGTTTAAGACCAGCCTGGTCAACATGGTGAAACCCTGACTCTACTAAAAATACGAAAATTAGCCAGGTGTGGTAATGTGCACCTGTAATCCCATCTACTCGGAAAGCTGAGTCACAAGAATCGCTTGAACCTGCGTGGAGATTGCAGTGAGCCAAGATTGGTCACTATACTTCAGCCTGGGTGACAGAGTGAGGCTCTTAAAAAAAAATTAATACTATGTTTTATGAACACTCATGAACATATCAGCAAATTTATACCCAATGATATCAGAATTATGAATGTCAATATTACAATGTCTTTGGTATAGCCAATTTCATTACAAATAAGTATTGCAAATAAGTCATCAGAGGATTGTGATTGTAGTAAGCAATCAAGGAAAAACAATTATGATATACTCAACTCGGCTGGGCACTATGCTACACAATTTAACTTATTGGAAGTGCAAGGATGGCAGGGGTCAGAGATTCTCAGAAAATGCTTTCTAATTTTCTTTTCAGACGATGTGACTCCAGTGACTCCAGAAACTTTCACAGAAGATCCTAGTAAGCTATACTTTTTTTAAAAAAATGCTGTTTTATTGGGATAGATGGACTGAGGACCATATCTATATAAAGAAAAATAAAGACTTTAAAAGGGTTGGTGAATGCTTTGAGCTCATGCAAAGCTGTGATGTCAACTTAGATGCCAGCATCTCTGTGCGCATGCCCAATGTTTTTTTTGTTTTGATTTTTGAGACAGAGTCTCACTCTGTCACCCAGGCTGGAGTGCAGTGGTGCGATCTCGGCTCACTACATCCTCCACCTCTGGGATTCAAGCGATTCTTCTGCCTCAGTCTCCCAAGTAGCTGGGACTACAGGCATTTGCCACCACGCCTGGCTAATGTTTTTGGTATATTTAGTAGAGACAGGGTTTCACTGTGTTAGCCAGGATGGTCTCAATGTCCTGACCTTGTGATCTGCCTTCCTTGGCCTCCCAAAGTGCTGGGATTACAGGTGTGAGCCACAGTGCCCAGCCACCCGTGCCCAATCTTATTCTCTCTTCCATTTCTTTCTGTGATAGTCCCTCATCTGCCTGAGTTCACATGCTTTCGCTTCAGCCTTTCTTGCATCCTTTGAGATTATCATCCCTTTACCCTGCTTTCCTTAGCTACTTTTCCTAACTGAAATTTTTTCATTCCTTGTCATCTGTCTTTGCAGATCTGGTGAATGATCCTGCTACAGATGAAACAGGTAAGATTTACTGTAGTTTTTTAAAAATATGGCATAGTTCTTGTTAATATTCACAATATTTATTCCAGCTTTTGGATTTATTCTGTGCTTTTATCTTTTTGTTGTTGTTGTTGTTGTTTGTTTTTGAGAGGGAGTCTCACTCTGTTGTCCAGGCTGGAGTGCAGTGGTGTAATTTCAGCTCATGACAACCTCCACTTCCTGGGTTCAAGGGTTCAAGTACTTCTCCTTCCTTGGCCTTCCAGGTAGCTGGGATTACAGGCATCCACCACCATGCCCGACTAAGTTTTGTGTTTTTAGTAGACACAGGGTTTCACCATGTCAGCCTAGCGAGTCTTGAACACTTGGCCTCGGTCCCCACCAAAGCACTGGGATTACAGGTGTGTGCCACCTCGCCCAGCCTGCTTTTATCTTTGGATAGAGATGCTGTGAGACCGAGAGTGTTGTCACAGTGACAGTGCTGATTTTTTTTTTCTTTTTTCTTTTTTTTTGAGACAGAGTCTAGGTCTGTAGCCCAGGCTGGAGTGCAGTGGCAACCTCAGCTTGCTGCAACCCCTGCCTCCGGTGTTTAAGTGATTCTCCTGCCTCAAGCTCCTGAGTACTGGGATTACAGGTGCCCACCACCATGCTAAGTTTTGTATTTTTAATAGAGATGGGGTTTTACCATGTTGGCCAGGCTAGTCTTAAAGAACTCCTGACCTCAAGTGATCCACCCATCTCAGCCTCCCAAAATTCTGGGGTTACAGATGTGAGCCACTGCACCCCACCCAGGACTAATATTCTTTTTTTGTTTTGTTTTGTTTTTTGAGACGGAGTCTTGCTCTGACACCCAGGCTGGAGTGCAGTGGCGAGATCTCAGCTCACTGCAACCTCTGCCTCCTAGGTTCAAGCAATTCTCCTGCCTCAGCCTCCGGAGTAGCTGGGATTACAGGCGCGCTGCCATGCCTGGCTAATTTTTTGTATTTTTAGTAGAGATGGGGTTTCACCATGTTAGCCAGACTGATCTCAAACTCTTGACCTTGTGATCTACCCGCCTTGGCCTCCCAAAGTGCTGAGATTATAGGTGTGAGCCACTGCACCTGGCCTAGGACTAACATTCTTTAAAAATTTTCATAATTATTTCAATTAATTATATCCCCTTATACATAAAGCAGAAACCCAGCCATAGCCTGCTCTTGCCATGGTATCTGCATTCTCCCTTTTCTTACTCTGCCTTATGCTTGCAATTCGAAGCTCTCCTCATACCTGCTGTTTTGTGTCTTTTCAGTTCTGGCTGATATTGCACCTTCCACAGATGACTCGGGTGAGTTCAGATCTGGGACCCCAGGGCCATCAGGGCCATTCTAGGCTTTCTCCAGAGCCCATTCTGGATGATGTGCAGCTGCTGAAGGATCCTAAATAGACATGATGACAGTTTATGTGGCACATTTTTCCGGTAGTTCAATTCAAATTGATGACATTGTTGAACACCCAACAAGCAGGAACTGTGCTAATATTTCTCTCAAATTTGCAAGACTTGATGGGTAAAGGCAAGATAAAAGTATAAACACGTGTTCTGGAAGATAAGGGGTAGCAGTAACCCCTGCTTTGACCAACTTTTTTTTTTTTTTTTTTTTGAGACGGAGTCTTGCTCTTGTTACCCAGGCTGGAGTGTAATGGCCTGATCTTGGCTCACTGCAACCTCTGCCTCCTGAGTTCAAGTAATTCTCCTGCCTCAGCCTCCTAAGTAGCTGGGATTACAGGCACCCACCACCATGCCTGGCTAGTTTTTAAATTTTCAATAAAGATGGGGTTTTGCCATGTTGGTCAGGCTGGTCTTGAACTCCTGATCTCAGGTGATCCACCTGCCTCGTCCTCCCAAAGTGCTGGTATTACAGGCATGAGCCAGTGGGCGCAGCCTCAGCTGAATTTTGAAAGAAGAATTGGAGAAAGCCAGGAGGTCAAGGAGGGGATGGACATTCCAGCCAGAGGGAACAGCATGTTTAGAGATATAAAAGCGGCTGGGTGCAGTGGCTTATGCCTGTCATCCCAGTACTTTGGGATACTGAGGCAGGCGGATCACCTGAGGTCAGGAGTTCAAGACCAGCCTGACCAACCCCAACGGGGGTTTAGGAGAAACCCCCGTTTCTACAAAAAAAAAATACAAAATTAGCTGGGCATGGTGGCACATTCCTGTAATCCCAGCTACTCAGGAAGCTGAGGCAGGAGAATTGCTTGAACCCAGGAGGCAGAGGTTGCAGTGAGCCGAGATCACGCCATTGCACTCCAGCCTGGGCTACAAGAGTGAAACTCTGTCTCAAAATAAAATAAAATAAAATAAAATAAAGATGTAAAAGCAAAGGGAGTTTGGCCCATGAGGGAAACTGAGGTTTTGTTTTTTGGTTTTTTTTGGACAGCTAGAGAGAAAACTATATGGGCCAAGTGGTAGGAAGTAAGAAAAGGAGAGAGAAGCTACATTTTTGTTTGTTTGTTTGTTTTGAGACAGAGTACTCTATTGTCCAGGCTGAAGTGCAATGGCACGATCCCAGCTCCTTGCAACCTCAGCCTCACACGTAGCTGGGATTATAGGCATGCACCACCATGCTCAGCTATTTTTCTGTATTTTAGTAGAGACAGGGTTTTGCCATGTTGGCCAAGCTGGTCTCGAACTCCTGACCTCAAGTTATCTGCCTCCTTGGCCTCCCAAAGTGCTGAGATTATAGGTAGCTAGATTACTTTTTAACAAATTGTTATCGAAAACCTGCTACTAGGTGCCAAGGATATAAAAGTGAACAAAACTGATTTTCTTCTACTAGACATCTTTTGTGTAATATACAAGATAGACAACTTTATTCAGTTTCACAAAATTCTATAAGTAGGGTAAGCAAGAGCAGCTATGGAAGACACAAAGAGTTTTTCACTAGGTTCAGTGCTGGGGGTGAGCAAAGGCTTTTTCTGGAGGGCACATTTGACTAAGCTGCTTCCTGAAAGACAAGTGGAAGTGAACCAAGTGGATAGAAGAGGGAAGAGCTTTTAGGTAAGGAAGACAATATAAATGAAAAAGTGTAGGGTGGACATGAAAACCAACCAGAGAGACATTTATGCAAAGTAAGATTATAATCAGATTTGTGCATTGGAAAGATCATGCCCCACCTCCACAGCCACTACTGTACTCCCAGGGCAGTGTGGAGAACTTTATTTGACCATGATTGCCTGGAAGCGGGAAACCAGCAAGGCTACTGCTGCAGTGTTGCCAATAAAAGACTCTGGCAAATAAACTAATTAGCAAGGTGTGGCGGCCTGCACCTGTAATCCCAGCTACTCAGGAGGCTGAGGCAGGAGAATTGCTTGAACCTGGGAGACAGAGGTTGCAGTGAGCCGAGACCACGCCAATGTACTCTAGCCTGCGAGACAGAGCGAGAAATAAATAGCAGCTGGCCTGAATCAAGGTAGAGATAGTGAGAACCAAATGTGAGCTATAAGGGAGAGCAGATTGCTGAGATGACTAGATGTAGTTACTGGGTGGATGTTGGTCTCATTCACTGAAGAATAGAATTGGTGAAGGGAAAGATAATTAAGTCAGTTTGAGATACGTTGAATATGAAGGATCTTTGAAAAATTCAAGAACTCTTCCATAAAACAGCAGTTGGATTTGTAGGTCTGGAGCTTAGGAGAGAGATGGGATTGAAAATATAGATTTGGTAATTACCAGCATGTAGACTTGGCTTAAAACCACGAGATAGATGAGATATCATACCATATTTCCTAGTATTGTATTCACCACACTTTCAGTGACATTTTCCCTGGTAATACCCCTGACTAGTCGATTCATCTAACTCCTTGACTTGTTCTTCATTCTGTGAACGAGGCCCATGTTAAATTTGCGCCTACATTAGGATCACCCTTAATATTCTTTTTTTTTTTTTTTTTGACACGAAGTCTACCTCTGTCGCCTAGGCTGGAATGCAATGGTATGGTCTTGGCTTACTGCAGCCTCCACCTCCTGGGTTCAAGCCATTCTCCTGCCTCAGCCTCCTAAGTAGCTGGGATTATAGGAGCACATCACCACACCCAACTAATTTTTGTATTTAAAAAAATTTTATTTGTATTATTATTATTTTTTTGAGATGGGGTCATTCTCTGTCAACCAGGCTGGAGTGCAATGGCGTGGTCTCGGCTCACTGCAACCTCCGCCTCTCAGGTTCGTGATTCTCCTGCCTCAACCTCCCAAGTAGCTGGGACTACAGGTGCATGCCACCACATCCAGCTAATTTTTGTATTTTTAGTAGAGACGGGGTTTCACTATGTTGGCCAGGCTGGTCTTGAACTTCTGACATTGTGATCCACCTGCCTTGGCCTCCCAAAGTGCGGGATTACAGGTGTGAGCCATCACGCCCAGCCAATTTTTTAGTAGAGATGGGGTTTCACCATGTTGGCCAGCCTGGTCTTGAACTCCTGACCTCAAATGATCCACCCGCCTCGGCCTCCCAAAGTGCTGGGATTACAGATGTGAGCCACCATGCCCAGCTGACCCTCATTATTCTTTACCCAACAACTTTTATCAAAAGAATTCATGATGATGTATGTAATCTACAGAAAATAAAATTTCCCTTTTAAGGAAGAGCTGGTACAGGATAATAATCTTTTTGCTCCTAAATTCTAAAAGATGCTCCTCTGGGCATACAGCTTTTTGGCTTGTGTTCCTACTAAATTTGCTTCTTGTCAACAATACAGAGATACTCACAATACATTGAATTTCTCAACTCTTTAGAAAGGAAAGGAGAAAGGAAAAAAATCCCATCCTACCTCCTAATCTCTTCAATTTTGTGGAGCAAATCAGCCCAATAAGGTTTTCTTTTAGAAGTTGCTTAGAGTTATACATTAATTTGCTCCAAGCAGGACCCAAGTGAGGCAGCATGGCAATTACATCGGTAGTAACTTCTAGAATTGGTAATAATGGAATAAAATTTCTGCCTTTCAGCCTCCACCAGTGATAAAAATACCACTGCAGGTATGATTGCTGCTTACATGTTATCTTATGCCTTTTTTCTTCCTGTGGATTCCTTATGTCCTTGTTCTTTGGGGGGTACTTGGTACATCCTCTAGTTTACTTCCAGTTATTTCTCAGAGTATTAGTATTCTTCGATTTCTTACTCCTTTTTTCCTTTTTTCCTTTTTTTTTTTTTTAATGAGCCTTTTTCATAAAAATCTTGAGGAAAGGCCGGGCGCGGTGGCTCACACCTATAATCCCAGCACTTTGGGAGGCCGAGGCGGGTGGATCATGAGGTCAAGAGATCGAGACCATCCTGGTCAACATGGTGAAACCGCGTCTCTACTAAAAATACAAAAATTAGCTGGGCATTGTGGTGCGCGTCTGTAGTCCTGGCTACTCGGGAGGCTGAGGCAGGAGAATTGCCTGAAGCCAGAAAGCAGAGGTTGCGGTGAGCCGAGATCGCGCCATTGCACTCCAGCCTGGGTAACAAGAGCGAAACTCCGTCTCAAAAAAAAAAAAATCATGAGGAAAGAATGGAATGAATGTTGCATGGTCCCTAGATAGCCCTCTCCCTAAAATACCCTTGGACTTTATTTGGTAGTTAGTGGCTTCGGAAGTGAAATCAATTTAACTGCAAGGACTCCATATTACCATAGATGTCAAGGTTAAAATTGCTTTCCTAATGTACTGATAATCCTGATATATTGCTAGGGTTGAAAACTACTGGAACAGAGAAATAGCAACCTGCCTAAGAAATTTTATTTTTTCAGAATGGGATTAGCAGCATCTACATTTTATGTATAAATATATATATTAAATATATATAATATATAATATATAAATAGAAATAATTGTATATAATATATATAAATGTACATAATATACATATTGTGCTGATGCACAGAGTACATATATATATACATTTCAACAATGAATTCATCATTTTATACACACATACACACACACGTACACACACACACACATATATATATATATAATTTTTTTTTGAGATGTGGTCTTGCTCTGTCACCCAGGCTGGAGTGCAGTGGCATAATCTCAGCTCATCGCAACCTCTGCCTCCCAGGTTCAAGCAATTCTCGTGCCTCAGCCTCCCGAGTAGCTGGGATTACAGGCGTGCACCACCACTCCTGGCTAATTTTTGTGTTTTTAGTAGAGACATCGTTTCACCATGTTGGCCAGGCTGGTCTCAAACTCCTGACCTCAAGTGATCCAACTGCCTCGGCCTCCTAAAGTGTTGGAATTACAGGCATGAACCACTGTGCCCAGCCTATTTTATATTGGATAATCCTAGAAAGACTTTATCCCTAGAAGTGTTCCCAGAGATTATTTTATCCACTTCTGCTTCCAAGTAGGGAAGCACCAAAACTTCATTTAGTCAATTTCTTCTTGCTCTGTTTTTGGTGAGCAGAAAGGATGTAGCCCAACATGTAATGATTCTCTGCAGAGATTACTCTGTATTTTTTTCCTACTCTATCTCTCTTTCCCAATTCCTTTAATCCTTTGTTTATGCTGCTTCTATTTGGACCGCTTTATTTTTTGTGTTGGGCTTCTTCAGAGTGCTGGGATGAGAAATTTACCTGCACAAGGCTCTACTCTGTGCGTCGGCCAATTCAACTATGCATTCATCAGTCATGCTTCATCAGGTAAGGGATCCCAGAATGCCCAAAAAGCATCTTCCATGGTAGTGTTTTTGTGTTGGTAACTATTTAATGAGCACCCACTATGAAACTGCAAACTTTAATGGGGCGCAAGTTGTTAGCACAACCCTCCTAGTTATTCCTGAATGTGCCAACTAGAACCTGGAGTCTGGGCTGAGGTATACAAATAATAGGCAAGTGGTAAGTGAAGGTGAGGGCTGGAGGAAGAAGAGTCACGAGGGAAACGCTGACATGCTCCATTAATTACCTGATGGAAGGAGGCAGAAGCAACCCAACTCTAAGCTAGAAAATAGTGGGGAGGAATATTAAGCCTGACTCTAGGTGGAGTGGGCAAAGTGTCACTAAGAACAGTAATGAAAACAATGGCCTTTGCAACAACTTGGATGGAGCTGGAAGCCATTATTCTAAATGAAGTAACTAAACAATGGAAAACCAAATATTGTCTCTTCTCACTTATAAGTGGGAGCTAAGCTATGAGAAGGCAAAAGCATAATAATAATACCATGGACTCTGGGGACTCAGGGGAAAGGGTGGGAGAAGACGAGGGATAAAAGATTACATATTGGTTATAGTGTACACTGCCAGGTACGGGTGAACCAAAACCTCAGAAATCACCACTAAAGAACTCATCTACGTAAATGAAAACCACCTGTACACCAAAAACTATTGAAACGAAAATTAAAAAAAAGAAGAGTAATTAATACCATCCCCTTCCCTATTTTCACCCAGTGTGTATGGGGAAAATGTTGGAAATACTTAAGGAAATCCATTTGGGGAAGAGCAGATAGGGGAAAGTGGGGAATATGAGAGTTGAAGAGGCATCCCAGACCCAGGTTAGAGCTTCTCTCAAGGCTTTCTTCCATCTCCTTCCTCGCCTATGACATTGGGACGTCTGCAGGTTTCGACGCACATATGTTGTCAACAAGGAGATCTGCTCCCGTCTTGTCTGTAAGGAACATGAAGCTATGAAAGGTAAGATGATGTCTGGATGTTTATTGGGGAAAAGCAGTTATGAAAGGGGTAAATAGGGACATGATATTAATATATCCAAAGTCTGGTATTGGAGGAGGGGTTTAGGCTATCCCCTTAGATTCCATCAGCTCCTGCTGGAAGTTATCACAAATAAACAATCTATGTAAAGCAGTATGCTTGATACAGAATCACAACCCTAAGAAAAGTACCCCTAGATCCCTTTCCTACTAGATTGTAACCCCACAGTGTCTCTTATTTAGAGAGCTTTCTGACACTCCACCTATTTTAAAGTTCACTGGGGTTCTAGGGAAAATTTAAAATCAGCCGTTACAGATAATAAACTCCGCTAGTCCACAGCCATGTTCATAATTAAAAATAAAACATACATACGCACACGCCCACGCACTAATTTGGAGACAGCAAGGTTTGGATAGGGCATATAAATAAAAAATAGATGGGACATTTAGAAATCAGCTAAGTTATAAATACTTTACCAGTTCCACGAACAATGTACATTTCTTACTGTGACATTTCAGGTAGAAGAAGGTAGAAAGATATTACAGAACCAATTACAAGGGCCCAAAATGTGTGGTGATAGACCTTACATGGTGGGAACAAAGATACCTCTCACTTTCCCCGTGGCCAGCCCCGAACGATGGCTGTGGTTAGTGAAGACACCACAGACAAAGCCATTTCTGACTCAGCAGCCCGCTTTGCGCTGAGTTCCTGAGTAAGAGCTGTAGTTAACTTCGCAGAAGGAAACTTGCTGTATGCCCCCATTGGCTTTGTGCAAGCCACCTGCAAGGGAAGCACCTTGAGATTGAGGATGAGTATTTGGGACTCTAGGCACTTTCAAGTATCTCAGGGGATTTACTAAAGTTAGCTATTTGCCCACAGTAAGCATGTAAATGTATAATGAATGATTGGACCTCATTTTTCTATCTAATAGATCCATATTAGAAGAATTGGCAGCTGGATATATAAAGGAAACTAACATTTACTGGTCACCTGTGCTAGGTTCTTTGCATACATGATTTCATTTTAATATTAAAAAAAAAATACTGTTGAGGTAGGTATTTTAATTCTCATTTTACAGAAAGGGATAGTGAGGTTTACAAAATTTGAGAAACTTTCTAGGAAGTAGTAAAGAGCTAGAATAAGTAGCAGAGCTGGTTGAAACCCAGATCTTTTTCTCTCCAACCTTTACACTACACCACACTGCAAAGTTTTCTCTATTCCTTAAAAGAAGAGCCTCTGTTATCTTCCTGCATTCTCTTCCCATCATGTCCTTCTTCTCTTCTAGATGAACTTTGCCGTCAGATGGTTGGTCTGCCCCCTAGGAGACTCCGTCGCTCCAATTACTTCCTACTTAATCCCTGTGAAAATGTGGATTCGCAGAAACCCAATGGTCTGTGATCGTCAAAAAAGAGGAAAGAAGAAAAAATATGTGGGTGAGAGGAAGGAGAATCTCCTTCTTCTTTAACCACTGACAGCTAACCTATAGACAGTATTTCTTAAACCAATCCTTTTGCAATGTCCAACTTTTACCCCTACTCTTTAATTTTTCACCCAAACTGATAACATTTATCTCATTTTTTAGCACTTAAAATACAAAGTCTATATTATTGCATTAATTTGCTGCTTCTCAATATCATAGACGTAGTGAATAGATGATGACTATATATGGCTTATATACAACATTCTGTGTACAATTTCAAGGGAGAATAAACTTTAGGCTAATTATCTTTACTATTGAATCTGTCTGATATAGATCTTAGGATGGAAGAAGTTATCCTTGTCTATTTCAGCTAACCATATAGCTTCATTTATTTTCCTCACAAGAGTTTCCTAGATTAACTCCTCATATTTACGTGTTCCTCTTTACTCTTATTTTACTATTTTGCTGGCTTGCCTGAACATTTGGCTGGCAAGTATTACTTGTGAGACAGATCATGGTGATTTGTATAGTCCTGGAAGATTCTGCAACACAGCTAAGAATTATACAATCCTACTAGCAACAGATAAGGACCCAAAATGTGTTCTGTTAAGCTCAGAGGCTGAGGCTAAAGCATGAGGACTATGCCAGATATAGAACTTGGACTCATAATTCCGGATTCAATTTTTCATGCAGTTGTCCAGTTGGGAAGTAAGGCTGGAAAGTAAGTCTCATTTGCTGACTTGTTTATGGTAGTGCTGGGGTTAACCCACCTCCATAAAATAAATTAGACAACTTCATGTGAAACCATACCATCGTTTGGCATTTCTTTGAGTTGCGACTTCGTTCATCCTCCTGACTTACCAAGTGCACAGTAGAATTACTATGCAAATGGCTTCCGGAATATCCTAATTGGGGCTAAGAAGGGCATTCAGACTTGAATTTTGATAGGCAGACAGAAGGTGTGCCTAATGGATAATATGAAAGAGTGAAAGAAACACAATATTCAGACAACCTACATTCTTATGCTGGCTCTAGAAGTGACCATGTAGCCTTGGATAAGTCATTTTCCTTCATTAGGTCCTAGTTTAATGTCCTTATCTTTAAAATGAGAAGGTTAAATTTATATTAGTTCTTCTGGGCACAGTGGCTAACACCTGTAATCCCAGAACTTTGGGAGGCTGAGGCAGGTGGATCACTTGAGGTCAGGAGTTTGAGACCAGCCTGGCCAACATGGTGAAACCCCATCTCTATTAAAATACAAGAATTAGCTGGGCATGGTGGCGGAAGCCTGTAATCCTAGCTACTAGGGAGGCTGAGGCACGAGAATTGCTTGAACCTGGGAGGCAGAAGTTGTGCAGTGAGCCAAAATCACACCATTGCACTCCAGCCTGGGTGACAAGAGTGAGAGTCCATCTCAAAATAAAAAAAATAAAATAAATATATATATATTTGTAGTTCTGAGATTACTTTTAATTCTATGATTCTCTGGATTTAATGCATTATTCATATTTCTTGAAGCTTAGATACAGTCTAATTCACACCAACCATATCTGCTTTATCCTAGGTAAGGATAGCAATGCACAATGTAACAGAACAAAATATATTATGACAAATGACAAATTACATATTATGAATCCTCTGTCTGAAAAACTCCATACTTTCTATAAAAAACAATGGAATTCAAACAGGAACTAGGAGACAAGTTACATATGACAGTGAAGGTTGTGTTCTTTTTATATTGCTGAGAAAACTAGTTAAATGATCAGATTCTTGCTGTTAAGAAACAATTCAGTTTACTGGGATCTGTACAACTGATTAAAAAGAAATGCTAGGGAACAATCCAAGATGGCCAATCGCTAACATCCCGGGATTGCAGCTCTCAGGGAAGGCGCGGAGAACTAGAGGATGCCACACTTTCAGACAAATTCTGGTTGCTCACGGAGCAGAAGATCCCCCAGTGGAGGAAACACACGGGTGGCCAGCGCGACTCTCGTGGCTGGCGCAGCGGTTCCACGGGCACCTCGGCGCGGCAGCTCTCTGAGCAGAGTAAACAGGTTTGGAGGACCCGCCCGGGTCCCCAGCAGGACACCAGAGCCCGGCACAGCGGCTGTGATGGCACCCCAGCGCAGCAGCGCTCGGCGCAGAGTAAGCGGGATCGGTTCCCCTTCAGACCGAGGTTTGGAGCCCCGGGAAGGCAGAGTCGCCTACTACGGAAACAAGAAGGACGCCCGACAGGAGAATCCTGGGCAGAAAAGCACCATCAGTTTTAACGCCGCTGCTCTGGCCCTGGGAACTAACAACCTGGACGTCCACTCAAGAGACCTAATCTGAAAGTTGGTAATTTCAAAGACGACAGGAGGATAAATTTACAATGACGGGAAGAAACCAGTGTAAAAAAGCTGAGAATACTCAAAGTCAGAATGCCTCTCCCTCCAAAGATGATCACAGTTCCACATCAACAATGGAACAAGGCTTGATGGAGAACAAGCGCCTCCTGATGACGGAATCACTCTTCAAGGAATGGATAATAACAAACTTCGGTGAGTTAAAAGAACATGTTGTAGCCCAACGTAAAGAAACTAGGAACTTTGAAAAAAGGTTTGATGAAATCCTATTGAGAATAGACAACTTAGAGAGGAGTATGAGTGAATTAATGGAACCGAAGAATACAATACAGGAACTCCAAGAAGTATGCACAGGTTTAAACACTCGAATTGTTCAAGCAGAAGAAGGGATATCAGAGGTCAAAGTCCAACTTAATGAAATAAAACGTGAAGAAAAGATTAGAGAAAAAAGGGTAAAAAGGAATGAGCAAAGTCTCCAAGAAATGTGGGACTATGTGAAAAGACCAAATTTACGTTTGATAGGTGTACCTGAATGTGACGGAGAGAATGAATCCAAGCTGGAAAATACCCTTCAGGATATTATTCAGGAAAATTTTCCTAAACTAGCAAAGCAGGTCAATATTCAACCCCAGGTAATACAGAGAACACCACAAAGATATTCCTCAAGAAGAGCAACCCCAAGGCACATAATCGTTAGATTCACCAGGGTTGAAACGAAGGAGAAAATACTAAGGGCAGCCAGAGAGAAAGGTCAGGTTACCCACAAAGGCAAGCCTATCAGACTTACAGCAGATCTCTCAGCAGAAACTCTACAAGCCAGAAGAGAGTGGGGGTCAATATTCAACATCCTCAAAGAACAGAACCTTCAACCCAGAATTTCATATCCAGCCAAACTAAGCTTCACAACTGAAGGAAAAATAAAATCTTTTATGAACAAGCAAGAACTCAGAGATTTTATTACCACCAGGCCTGCTTTACAAGAGCTTCTGAAAGAAGCATTACACACAGAAAGAAACAACCAGTATTAGCCTTTCTAAAAATACACCAACATAAAGAAGAATTTGCACCAACGAATGGATAAAACAGCCAGTCAACATCAAATGGCAGTAACCCTAAATTTAAATTGACTAAATCCCCCAATCAAAAGACACAGCCCAAACCCAACGGCATGTTACATCCAGACCTGTTTCACATGCAAGGATACACAAAGACTCAAAGGGATGGAGAAAGATTTACCAACCAAATGGAGAGCAAAAATAAATAATAAAGAAATAAAAAGCAGGAGTTGCAATTCTCGTATCGGATAAAATAGATTTTAAAGCAACAAAGATATAGTGGTAAAAGGATCAATGCAACAACAAGAGCTAACGATCCTAACACCCAGATACGAGACTTAGATTCAATGAGACAGAAAATTAATAAGGATATCAAGGACTTGAACTCAGATCCGGAACAAGTAAACTTAATAAATATTTATAGAGCTCTCCACTTCAAATACACAAAATATACATTCTTGTCAATACCACATCACACCTACCCATAAGCTTAAATGAAACATTGATTGGCCATCATTAATACCCAATTTTTTTCAAAATAAAGCAATATTTCCATTTACTCTCCCTCTTTCTCTTCCTCTTTCTTCCTGTTCTTTACTTATTATTATTTTTTTTTCTTTCCTTCTCTCAAAAAAAAAAGAAATCAACATGTAAACCTCTAGATCCAGGTCGGCAAAGTCTCTCTCATTGCTTGATTTCCTTCCTTCCCTTCCCTCCCTGCCTCCCTCCCTCCCCGCTTCCTCCCTTCCTTCCTTCCTTCCTTCATCCCTTCTTTCCTCCCTACCGTCCTTCTTCCCTCCCTTCCTGCCTTCCTCCCCCCCCAAAAAAAAGTTTTATAAAAAAAAAAAAAAAAAAAAAGAAATGCTAGGAAAAGCTCCAAAGCATATGATCTCTACTCCTTGCAGTCTCTAGAATTCTTTTTTTTTTTTTCTTTTATTAAGACAGGGTTTCACCATGTTGGTCAGGATGGTCTTGAACTCCCGACCTCAGGTGATCCACCCACCTTGGCCTCCAAAGTGCTTGGATTACAGGCATGAGCCACCACACCCGGCAGTCTCTAGAATTAAATGTACTCATTTAGACAGACACACTAAATGCATATTGTAGCCACTTTAGAGAAATCTTGTAGGCACGGTTTTCAAGAATCATTTTAAGAATCTCTTCATGAACTTGACCCTCCTACTCCACACTGCAACATTTCCATCAGACAGCACCTCAATTCCAGTGTTATGTAGGTTCCAAATTAAACATTAAAAAATATTTTCCCCAATTTATTTCTCAGAATAAAATGTCTTTTGTTCTGGTTCTTTTCCTCTTTTCTTTTATGTTTACAAAAAAAAGGCATGAATTTGTGCACTTTTATTCCACTTTAAAAAATGAGTATTGGCCTGGCACTCCCCTGTAATCTCAGCACTTTTGGTGGCCGAGGTGGGAGGGTCACCTGAGGTCAGGAGTTCGAGATCAGCCTGGCCAACATGGTGAAGCCCCGTGTCTACTAAAAATACAAAAATTAGCTAGGCATGGTGGCAGGTGCCTGTAATCCCAGCTACTCAGGAGGCTGAGGTAGGAGAATCACTTGAACCTGGGAGGCGGAGGTGGCAGTGAGCCGAGATCGAGATCGTGCTACTGCATTCTAGCCTGGGCAACAACAGTGAGACTCCATCTCAAAAAAATAAAAAAGATTTGGAAGAGAGATTTTACTTGTTAAGGTGTTAATATGTCCCTTTTCCTGGTAAGCCCAAATGACAACCTTGCTAAGCAATGGCTTTTAATGAAAAGCCATTTTTTTTTTTTTTTTAAAGATGGGATTTCACCATGTCGGCCAGGATGGTCTTGATCTCTTTACCTCGTGATCCGCCCGCCTTGGCCTCCCAAAGTGCTGGGATTATAGGCATGAGCCAACACGCCCGGCCTGAAAACCCATTTTTTAAACCAAAGTAATGGAACTTCAATGTTAGAATTAATGAATTTGGTAAAAATATCATTAGGTATTGAATGCCTTCCTGGTATCCTGAAGATAGTAGCCTCATCTATCTACTCATAAAGATTCACCCTTATTTTCTCTTCTCAGATTGAGTTGATTCTACTATGAGACTACTTCCATATTCCATGCTTATGATTCAAGAAAATTCTCCATTCTCCTTAAATGAACACATTCTGGAAATTCAAGTGTGTGTCCCACTCACTAAATAGAGTTCTATGCAGACTTCTCAGCATTGTTGTGACTCACAGCAGAGAGTGCAAACCCCAGCTGGTCTCCCAACGTCTGAGTCTTACGATGACATATACAGCAGTGTATGTTACTAGACACAAGGTCCTACCTTCTCTGCTTCGGGGTACTTGTGGCCAACCACTTTACCCCTGGTCAGAAGGCTCAGGAAACCTCTAAGATCCCTCTCCCTTTTCTAC